TTGGCACCGAGAAGATCCTGGCTCCACCTTCACTCCCCTGCTCCAGGTATTTATACACATGGAGAAGGTGCCCCAGAGCCTCCTCCAGGCTGAAGAATTCCAGCTCTCTCACCCTCTTCATGTAGCTCACACGTTCCAAGCCCTTCACCATCTTCATGGCTCTTCCGCTGGACTCTCTCCAGTATGTCCATGTCCCTCTTGTACTAGGGAGCCCAGGACTGGACCCAGCACTCCAGTGTGGCCTCACCAGTGCTGAGGGGAGAAGGATCACACCTTCGACCTGCAGGCAATGTGATGCTGTTCCTGATGCAGCCTTGGAGAGATGTTGGCTTCCCTGGCTGCAAGAGCAGCCTGGACTTACAAAGCTCTGTGTGTCTTCAACAATATTACGCACACAGTTCTTTATCCAGTCAAGGTATCACCCCATGTGAAAAAGAAATGCAATAGTGGAGTAGACTGAAACACTGAAAGCCCAATTATTGAAACACCTTATGAAATTGAGCTGAGTTTTTCAACACCGTAATTAATATAATGTAGTTAAACTTGTATTTCTACATTCAAATTAAGATGGTTTTCAGAAAAGCTAAACTTATGGAAGGCTTACCTGAGAAAAATAATTAGTAAGAAACCCTCCCCCCAAATCCCTAAGTAGAAGGGATCTTCCCATATACACCAGTCAGTCAGTAGCACAGCTTAAAAGAAAAATCCTTCCCAGAGGGATCCATGTTAAGTCCCAATCCCAGGGTCTATGGCTCTATACTACATGGAACTATACCATTTGAATCAGGATAAAACCTGAAAGTAATTTAACAGCTATTAAAGCTGTTAAGGATATAGATCACATTATTCATTTAATGCCAGTAAAAACCCATTGCATACCTCACCACTTATCACTTCTAGTCTGTATAATACAGAGCCAGACTCTTACTTAGAAATTCCTATTTCTAGCGTAGGGAAAGATAGACTTTCCCACAAATCCATGCCTTTCCCTATGCCTCCAGAACAAAGAAATAACAGTAGAAGTCTTTAAAAGCAGAAACCTGCAGTTACAATACATGCTAGACCCTCAAGGCTTTTGATCTGTGCAGAAAGAGACCCTCCTGTACAAATACCAAAACAGACTGTAAGGACGCGGACCACTAATGTAGACAAGCTATGGATTGCTTAGTTGGCCTTTCATGATGCAGTCTAAGATGGATTTATTCAACTTATTTCCAAAGAGACTTGTTTAGCAAGGCTGAAGAAATCTTCCACTGCATAAGGCAACATCTGTAGTCTTTTACCAGTAACACAGAAGCTTTATTTGAGAAAGATAACCTGCAACTTTTGCCGAACTGCTGGAAGGGAGAAGGCAAATGTAAGCAAACACCTACTCACAGTTACGAGCAAGTTACAACTTTGGGGAACATCTGAAGGGGTTCTAGGACGGCAAGAGGAAAAAGAATAAACTGCACAGCTCAGGCTTGAGTCTTGTCCCCCACAAGGCAGATGAAGTGTAAGAAAAAACAAACACAGCACTTCTCTAAGTCAACGGAGAATGTAATAAAAAAGCTCACCCTTTCTCAATTTAAGAGTGTACATATCCCAAATTACCTTCTACTATTTGCAACCGGTACCCAACATGAATAATCAGGCAGTGCCTTATTACAGGCCAGGTACTTCAAAAGTCAGTTTTAAAAAGCCCAATTAAATGAACCCCAAAGCACAGCAAGTGAGACATAACACACACAACCTGCAGTTTATCTTGGACAGGACAAAAATAAGACACAAAAATTCTTTGGGTTCTTTCAAGCTTCCACAGGATGACCCAAGGCCCTCATTTTACATAACAGTCTGAAGATTCAGAAAAGGCCATTAGACGAATATTCATTGGTATCACGAGAAGTTAGGTATCCAATGGTGTTTCAAGTAGGAACCTCACTGCATCTTTAAGCAACTATGTATCTGCAGGATTTGGCCCCAGGTCCAACCCACGGAATCCTCCCCCCTCTCGATTTGCACTACTGTAACAGGAGAACAATACCCCACCCCGCTGGGAGGCTTACCTGCTTAATGCATGCAAAGCTCTTTAGCATCCTCCTCCAATCCCCTCATAGATGTGCAAATCATTATATCCTCACTGTTCTGGGATAATGACTTTAATTTGATGATTTGCAGAAGGAGGCTTCTCAGCGGGGACATTTTCATCTGAAGGCTCCCTCACCCTGTGCTGCTGGTGGGGGTGAGAATTTTGACTCAGGGGCCAGATGTTGAAGGATTCTCTTAGGTTCCTGCCCTATCAACAATCGTGTTGTGATACCTTCTCAAACACAGAACTTGAAAGAGGCCCTGGAACAACATGAAAGGACCTTGAAATTCATCGTTTAAGCCTGAGTTTGGAATCTGAAGAGGAAAGTATTTTTTTTTTTGAGATATGGTAGGTTAAAATAATATTTGTGTATTTGGCTCTTAACATATCCTTCTCACGTCGCACAGCTCACGATCAAGCCATGAATGAGACAGCTCAAAATGGTGACTCCAAGACCCTTGATTCTCAAGGGTGGTTGATGCCATTTCGAACACTGTTCTTGAACAGTGCACCATGCGAAGGATGCTGCTGGCAGAAAGCCTATGTTTAACCTAAATGCTGCTCACACATGTGCTAGCAATCATGATTATAGGTATCTGAAATAGGTAATCCATACAATACCTTAACACAGCCAACTTTTCCCAAATGTGTTTTGGAAGTCAGCTCCAAGTGTTCAGACCTTTGACCCATTTCTGCGAAGAATATTTTACTGTAACTCTCAAACTAGAAAAAAAAATTATCAGCAAACATCATGCTTTTTTTTCTCTAGGTATTTTACACTGATGGCAGCACTGACACTGTTATATCTATAATTTACTTAAGCACTGATAAAACTTTTCTAGAGCAGATTTCCTATTCAACTGCAAGATCTCCAAGGTTAGCTTAAAAGGCCTCCTTATAAGCAGATCTTTTACATTTCTACTGTCGCAAATGGCAAGATCTACTCATGGTAAGAAACACATCTTTTGAAATGGAAGCTACATTCTGTGTCCTTTGAAGTGGCTCCATTAATGCAAATTCTCACTAAAGTGGAAAAGTGAGGAATAGTGAGGCAAAGTAACACAAGCTTTTCAAGGGAAGAATCCCACAAATCTTAGCAGCGGCTGAAATAATTGCGCTTACGTAAAGCAAAAGCACATGTTGGAAACACAGTCTGAACAAAAGGCTTGCCTACTCCCCCTTCTGCTCCCAAAAAACCTCCAACACCTCCACCCAACAGGAAAAACCAGAAGATGTCAGGTGTGGAAGTTCTAGTAATACTTCTGAGACACTTCGCCACTGGGCAACTGCATTTGAACTGTATTTCGAGTGACCTGGAGCAGGAAGGCTGTGTATTTGTAAGGTTCCCTGGGTATGACAAGCAGTTAAAACTAGACGTTACAGATTTTCGAATTGTCATATATTGTTCCATTTCCATGGATTTCTCCTTTTGTGATATGTGTCTTGCTAGTTTAGGACTACTTATAGGGTAGCGTGAAGGAACAGAGAACTCTTTAAAAAACATTTCCTTTTCAGTATTTTTTTGGTTTAAGTCGGCATGCTGATAGCACACGCGCTTCTCTGCTTCTCCTCGTAGAGGGTGGTGGGGAACACAGCTTATGCCTCCTGACCCGAAGTTAGGAACAGAATGGAAAAAACCACCCAGTTACGTTGTATTTGCCTCTGGCCTCATCTCTCCATAGGATTTTCCTTGTGTTGAAGGAGAAATTTGGGAGGAAAGGAGGTAAAACAGTTGCAGTAACAAGGAAACATACTAACACCCAACTTAGTTTTCAAAAGCAAGAAGCAGAGAAAAGCTGTGACAGCAACTGGAGCAGTACTCAAGGTTTTACCTTCTCCTTGCTAGTCTCTGGAAGAAACGCCAAAGACTAAGACTCCACATTACACCTCAGAAAACAGAGAGTTAAAGCATGACACCTACTGAGGTTTTGCTTTTTTTTTTTTATAAGACTCCTTTTGTTCTATTTTGATAGAAGTATGTCCCTTCAGAAACATTCAGTGTTTTTACAGATATTTATTGAAGCTGCCAAAAACATAACTGATTTGAATGAACTTATACTTGTTCTCTTTTTTGCCCTTGTTTGGTAACCAGATGAAAAACAGGCATTACTGTTTAACTGCAGAATTACAAACACCTTTTTAAAGTGAGGAAAATATTAAGAATAAATTACTCTAAGCATGAAGCTGTTGTAGCAAAAGGCTAGACCAAGAAAAAACACACTGCTGTGCTTTCCAAGTTGCTTGCATTCTTATAGCAAAGGACTGATATAATCCTTTTAATAGATGTGATGAAACTCTTAATAGAAGTAAGTATCCCTAAGGAAACAGATCTCAGGCATAATTTGAGTATCATAGTTCAGTGGGAAATCACTTTTTAGGCAATGTGTAATAAGATCTCCACAGTCCTGTGACTGTAACAAAGAAAAAAGGTACACCTCACAACAAAGTTTTTCAGATAGATTCATGTGAAAAACTGCGAAAGACCTTTATCAACATAAACCTGCATGAGATAGTTAAAAAATTTAAACCCTCCCAATCCCCAAAACACATCTGCATTGTAATTTTAAATACTAACATGTGATATAATCAGAAATATTTGCTTATGTTCACCTCTGAACAACATCTAAAGTTAAAAAATGGAACTGGTAATTAGTAAGCAATAACTACAGCTTTATGCCAAAAAAGAAAGCACTTTTAACAATATTTTAGACCTATATTCTACAAAAAAAAAACAACCCACAAAACCCAAACCCAGCTAAGATACATTTAAGTAGCAGCTCTAATTTTTAATAACTTTATTTCTAGACCAAACCACTTGCTGCATGCAAATACTATAGATACATTGAGAAACTACAGAATTTTTCACATGACTTCAGCTCGGCTGCATATACTGAACAGAAGAATACCGCAACCAAGATTTCCAAAGAAGTATTCATGGAACTAAAAGTCGGGTTTTCTTTACCACCAACTTAGCCATAAAGAAGAAAACCCCAAATCCAAACAATGTTACCGTTCCCATTTTTACTAATATTTTCTTTCCCGTGGTGGGTGCTTTTTCTGGAAGTTTCACTCTGCTGGGATCATTCTTCTGTTCGTGCTGAGGCAGATGTTAAGTTCATGTAAAAAGTGCAACAAAGGAAAAAAAAAGTGTGAAAGCTTCTTAAGTATGTGATAAAGTACCCAGCCTTAAGAATTTGCATGCATCTAGGACTGATATTATTTCTTTCTTACTCTCTGTCTTTGCACTACTTCAATTGAAATAGATGTGTGCAAACCTGATGCTTAGTCTGTAACATATGTTAGAAAAACAAACTGTTCCTTTACGAACTTAATTCCTCAGGAGTGAACTAGGCTGCTAGTAGATGCTACAAAAAAATCTGACAACAAAACATTTACCTCCAATCATCAAATATTTTAACCAGAACTTTCACCATTTAACTACTGAAACAACTGTTTAAAAAAACCCAGTTAAATATGTAACACAGTAGATTTTCTTGAAATGAAAGAGAGAGTGGAAAGTAGCTTACAAATGCCTGCTCAAATACATGTTGAAGCTGAGTAGAGCCTTGTCATGAAGAGCAGCAATTCCTAAACTGAGTTTATAATGCTTGGAAGGCCATCTCATTCACCATGCTCTCAAAAATGATAAGCTACGGACATAACATACTGCTAGTGAAGTCTTTTAATGACTAAGCTTAGCACACAATATGCAAGATTTTAAGGGAATTTATACAAGCCTGTAGTCTAAGAGGTTTAACTATTTCACTTAAATTGCCACTTTGCACAATAAATGTTTCAAGGCTCTACTCATTCAAGAGTGCTCCATCATAAATTAAATAGCACACAGATTTTGTATTAAAGTCTTCATCAGCAAAATTCATAAAACACTGCAGTATTTTAGTAGAAAGAAAATTACATTTTTGAAGTACTTATAAGGCTGATTCTTAACACCTCTGTTTAACACCGTGTACAAAGCCACCGTACCTCATCTTGCAGCGGTAAAACCTTAAGCATAGACGAGGGCAAAGTCAAGTGGCACCTACCTCAGATTCCCCCAAACCTTATTAATAGTCTGCACAGACAGGAGGCAAATACACATGTACAACTGATTTCTGCATATGCAGAAAAAAGGAACACAAATAGCCAAAAAGTTCTTTGCTGCAGCCTCTATCAACCTCTTAAATATATTTGGCATTAAGTGATTTATCGGGAGAAGGCTGTTCTATTACATTAAATTTACTTTAAACCACAGGAAATTGCATTAGTAGCATTATAGTCAAGGTTTGAGTTCCACATGGCTTCGTTCAGCAACAGATTCCTTTCTGACACTGATGCTCCATTTACTCTATCCCAGCAGCCATTCCTTTTACTGGCCTATTACTTAAAATGACCCCGTCTGACAAGAGTGTGTCACTGTGTTGGTTTGGGAATGACTGATGCGGTGCTAACATTTAGCCTTGACCTCTCCCACCCTCTTCTTTTGTCACTCTGCAGAGTTATCTGGGATGCCTCCCATTCAATCCATAAAACCTTAGTATCTTCCCTGTGAGTCAATAATTCCAAACAAAAGATTCCTTAATTAACAAGGAAGAGTCTAAGTATTCAGAGCGGTTGTCCAAGAGCACAGGGACACATACCATTTAATTCTATCCTGCAGTAGAAAGAAAAGGTCTGACTGTACCTTCCTCTGTCCACACTGTGAGATTATTTCTCATTCTGCCCAGGAAAAGGTGGAAGGGAGAGAGGTTGATGCAATAGCCAAGTACAGCTGAAGAGCCTGTGGCACACCAAGGTATGAAACTTTTCGCCACCGAACGTTGCTTCTGAGGTCGCAGGCGGAAACCTGTACACAGCATTCAGCAGCCTCACAGCTCACACATACTCACCTTCTCCACCAGATCCTTCAGTCTGGCAACTTCTTCTCCAAGATGTTCAATGCTGCAACCCAAATCTTTGCAGGCTTCAATAAAGCGTTCAGTCGGTGTCCACTGCAGTACTATCTGTTAACAGTTAGTTATTTGCCAGAATTACTGTAGATAATTCAATATTCTTCAGTTAACGTATCACGAAAGACAGGGTCAGAAAAGGTTTCTAAAGGCATTTATGCTAGGTTTTCGTTGTACGATTTATGCAGCATAATCTACTACTCTCTATCAGCCTTTGTGAGAACGCTTTGTCACCTCAACTCCCCTAACAGCAGAAACACCAAGAAATGTTACCTATCTTCTTTAAACGGGTGGCTTAACTCTTTAAACCAATTTATTTTTAAAAAGCGTCCTTTAAAGAAAGAACAGCTCTGTATAACTATATAATCACAGAACCATGGAATTTTAGGGGTTGGGAAGGGACGTTGAAAGATCATCTAGTCCAATCCCCCGCCTAAGCTGGATCACCTAGAACAGGTCCCACAGGAACAGTCAAGACAGTTGATGAGCATTCTTATTTTTTACTTTACAACATAGAATAATATGGTCTAAATAAAATCTTTTTTCTTTGGTTGAATACCTTGTGAGAATTTTTGAGGAAATAGTTATTCATGGTCTGCACAGGAACAATCATCTTACTACATTCTTTATTCAATTTCTGAAGAAACTTGAGAAACTCATCTCCACTACAAAAATAAAACAGTATTCCGTTATTTGCTAGAGGCTGTAACTTTTTGGAAGTTAAATATTACCTATGCATTTCCAACACTGGTTAGTGAGCGAGTCAGAAATACAGTTTCACTGCATAAAAAAAAAAAAATTTAAAATCAAGTATCATTTTAACACAGAGTAGTTAAATACTACATTTAATATCTTGGCAAAGTTTTTGGTGCGTTTTTTATTTTCTTTTCCCTTGACCCCTACTATCCGTTGTCATCTGTCCTCTCCCCTCCACTCCTGCCCTGCTTTGGAAGGACAACAAATCATTAAGTTATCTGGAATATTCAGCTTGCAAGACATATTGAAAGCTGAAAAAGTGTGACCCAAAAGCTTTTTGGATACATTGTATTAACCTCCATTTCTATTTCTAACTCTCATCAATCCTGTATTACCAATGAAAACATTTCATTACCTGTCGCATGAGTAATTTTGTAGCACACTATGCATCATAACTGAAACTCCTGTGGGCATACAGATCACAGTCTTGCAATACCAGAAACAGTGAATTTATAGGCAATTTTATGCTGACTTATCAATATTCCTGAACTGCAGCTTACATTTTTGAGGAATATGTGGGGGAAAAAAAAAAAAATCAAATCTGGTTTGTAGCTAGGACTGAAGTTACTATGTTAGAGTAAATTTATACTGTGCTCAAATACAGGAAGACAACTCTGAAGATTAGTTTGATCAGAATCTCTGAAGAGTGGAGAAAAGGATAGAAAACTTTAACAAGCTAATTTCAATGCTAAGTTTCTAAAGTTTCCACGTGACACCGACTCAATCTGTCTTACTGGAAGCTTCAGAGAGCGTCAGTTCCAAGTCACGGCCCTGGCCAGAAAGTTGTTGCCATTGATCGGGCAGAGGAAAAGGGGGCAAGGACGGAGATCATCTGTTTGCTTTAACAGAGTAAGTTCTCAAACTCTAAAACTCCCAAAAGTGCCTGTATCTCCCATAGAAAAGTTTCCAATAGCTATAAGCCATTCAGGTGAGTAACACCTGAAAAAAGAGACAATTTTAAATTCCTACCTCAAGTTATATTCATGGAAGGATGTGAATAAATTAACTCTGACCCTCACCGTTCCTCTTTTCCACAGAGCAACCTGCTACTAAACCTAAATGTGACATCCTCACACCACCTTACCTGCTCCTGCTTCTGCTGGCAAAAAGGTATACGTGGGTTTTATGAAGATGTGGAAGTAAGAAAGCTTATTAATTTGCTTTTGTAAAATATTGTTTATTTCAGAACAATGTAACTGAGTTGAATATTTAGGGTAAAAAAAACCACCAGCACTGAAGCACTCAATAAAATAATCACATCTGGAGATAGTCTGAAAGTTTCTCCCATGTCATCAAGGTCAAACCACACTGAAAATTTCCCTCTACTTCAGAAGAAAATGTCTTAGCTGGCTAGCATCAGCTATGGCACCTGCTGTGTTTTGTCACAACAGAAACTATTTTTAGGAATTTTGGAAGGATTCTCAGCAAATATAAAGTACCTCAAGGGCATGAAATGAAGAGGAAAAAAAAGGAAAAGAAAAAATACATACTTCTCATACTTCTTTATTATACTAATAACAGTTCTTAAAAAGCACTTTCGTAGAATTTTGTATCCATTGCAGTGACATGTTCTTATATTTGCAAATGAAAACAATGTTTTCAAAAAATAATCACTTTTAAAAAGAATTAATGGCTGTCAAAACACCAGTGGCTAAACAGTGCTAGACACTGAGTTTATAATCAATCAGTTCAACATTTTCTACTATGTTAGTTTTTCTATGACTTAATGACTGATTTTCCTTCTCACAGAACGACTTTGAACAAGTGAGAAGTAAAATCTTTATATAATAGCATGTAAACATAGCCTATGATTTTAGTCTCAAGGTCAGATTCCTAGAATACATGTCAAGCCATTTTCTAGAAAACTATGCAGTGCTTGCCATAACTGAAATGCCGTCATATTTTGTGTACTTCAATCTTTAATCAGTCAATTATTTTCTGGTTTTGCAAAGTAAACCTATACTGTACCAGGAATTAGAAATGTCACTTGTGTGTGAGACTGTACCGGACATCATGTGGGCTTTTTGTTGTACTTGGCTCGACATGCTAACTTTTTGTATTTCTTCACTCAATCCTTCCATTCAAATTTTTAAGCTATTCTGCTCAAATGTATATACTAAATCAATCTGGAAAATAGCATACATTTCTAGTATAAAAGACATGTGAAACTTAAACTGGGAAAACTCCTCTTAAACTACAGCTCATTCTTCTTGCTGTAAGGTCAACATCCTTTTCTAAAAGTGTCTAACTCGGACAGCTGGACACCCAGACACCAGCCTAAGATCTCAGCTCGGTGGAAAAGCCTCTGTTTTAATAGGAATGGCTCAGGTGCTGTCAAGAGTATTCACAGTGTATCCATATCACCCTGGTTTGCACACCCTCTTGCCTGCTGCATTTTGGGTTGGTTTACAGCACACATACTTGTTTGCACCTGGACTCTCTTCCAAAAGTACGTACTTTCTGATGGAGAAATCTCCTGACAGACTAGAAGCAGCACTGAGCTCCTGTGTTAGGACATGAACACGTTGCTCTCCCAGTCCACCTCAGTCTTGCAAGAGCTGCCTCCAAAGGATGGTGACGTGTACAGAACGATCTTGGAACTCAAGCACATCCTTCAATCCAACGGACAACCCAACTAACGAAGAGCCGAGCCTTACAGCACCCCAGTAACACAGACAGCTCTGCCAAGCATTCTGGAGAGGGAAGAAAGATCTAACAGAGCAGCACAGCGGTCAGGTCACCAGTCAAGAGGAAGATACATTTTGAAGACGAACCGAACCCTTCCTTTTCTAGACAGTAGAAAGTTACTTAATGAGTAGATTGGATGTGGGGAGTGTTTTCTCCCAGTACTACTCCAGTGCTAAGAAGGCAACACAATGCAAATGGTGGTGGGACAGGGAAGAGAGAAACAAGCACAGAGAACTTCACTTACTAGTAATGCAGCTACAACATAAGGAAGGAGCAGTGTCTCCAACCCTGTCTGCTCTAAGTGAAACAAACACCGTTCAGGTGACTAAAGCCTCCGAAAGGCAGCCACAGTTTTCTGCCCGAGACCATTTCTAAAATGTTTACAAACTGAACTAATCCTATTTTCAGGAGCTATTCTGCTATAGTTCTGGGAAGTAAAAAGAGAAAAAGATATGAACACAGAATCCAAATTCAAGTTGAGGTCTCTCTTCTGGAAAAAATGTTGTATTAACACAACAAAATAGAGGATAATTGGTCTAAGAAATCTTAAGACACCTTTGCACTTACTACAGCCTTAATTCTTCTTTGAGTGCTGGATGTGAAGAGTGTTCTACCAACGCTTAGGGGACTGAGGAAGTTTAATAAGGTTGGTGAGGTATGTTCCTCTCAGCTCAGGCCAGACTTTCACGGGACTGCACAAAACTGTAAGTATGAGTGGTAATGCAAAACTGATGCTTAAGGCTGTAAGAAAGAACCTAAAATGGGAAAAATATCAAGTTGGAATGAAGCTTTAAGGAGTAACACCTTCTTGAAAAACAGTTTCCTTATCAATCTATTTTTATTGATAATATAATCTATGATAAGGAAAATATCTTACGAACTGCTTAATTTGTAATATAAAAAATTAAGGTCTATTAGGAGCCAGTTAAAATTGCTTCCAGTGGAAGAGAAAAACATATGAAAAAAAAAGTCCTGAATCTATACAGAAGTCACATTTGTGATTTAAGATACACATCTACAACTAATTTATCAGCTGAAAACTGAAGGCCTATGCAGAAATCATACACATCTCTCCATCCCACGTGTCTTTTTTTTTTTGCATCTGGCAATCCGAAAAATTTGACTGCAGGACTAACAGAACCTGCCTTGTCTACAGACACAGTGGAGAATTACAGAAACTGCACTATGTGGACCTTGTAAGAGCTCATGATGCTCCTGAAGCACAGAGAAGCAAGGAGAGCAAGAGTCCATTTACATAGAGAAATGAAAAAAAAAAAAAAAAAAGAATGAAGAATCGACACTGGAGCCCAAGAAGTCAGTTTCAGAGTTTATGATGTGAACACAAAGTAGTGAAAACCATACAGCAAGACCATGAAACCCCATCTGAAGCACCAAGAATCTCAAGATTGCCAAAGTAATCTCATACAATTGCAATATAACCCATAAACAGACTCCTACACAACAGGAATTGATTCTTTCAACTTCCTTTGTAAAAAACATACCTACCACCAGCCCTCATAATCCACCAACAGGTGCACTCTCATGAATGTTATGCATGGAATAAGGTGTGAGGGAATTTTACCTTTGAGCTATAGAACACAATGTAGTCATTTTAAATAGTTTATAGTTCATTTCAATTTCCTTAACTATACAGTTAATACCTCAATTCCAGCTTCATCACTTCGGGGAGGTCTTCAATTCTTATTTCTTCCACTTGTAGCTCATTAATAGCACCTAGGAGTTTCTGCTGATCTTCAGGATTTGTAATGCCAATCTAAATTTAGAGAGTAATTCCAAATATTGTTTACCTTTAATACTTACTAGATATATCAGTATAGTACTATTTATTGTGTCAGCTTCTAATTATTAATAGTAGTAAAAAAATGCTTTTTTTAAAGTTACTGCAACCAACTACAGTAATATATAACTGCCAAAGGAAAAAAACCCACAGAGATTATTCAGAGCTGAGGAAGACGGAAACTGAAATTACACAGGGTACTCAGAAAATCCATTTAAGGTTTATTAAAAAATAATAAGCTTTTATAAGTACCGCTGTGTTGTTAGGATGTTATGCTCATCTGTTTCAGAATCATCTTAGTCATTTCTTACAACAAAAAAACCAATCATCATGTTGGTTATACAGCATTAACTCAGAAAGAAAGAACGAACGGAAATTATCAAACCAGCATCAAGCAGATAATTTTACAGAAGGAGGCCAGATTTTAAGAAGGGTTTGTACAGGCTTTTGAGTGTGTATGTTTTTCCAGCTAGAGAAAGTCATCTCTTAAGATATGATACCTCCTTCTAAAACCTTATTTTCTTTCAGAATTTCATTTAAAAAACAAGTCACGTCTGCAAAGAAATCTTGATAGTTCACACTACCTCACAAATCTCAAATGATCAGAAACTAGTAAAGAGAGAACATGATCTGTTTCTACCATGAAACAGCCTGTAAAAGCAACCTTTTTTATATCTGAAGGACAGCATACTTATAAACTCAGATTTCTAGCCTTTAAGACCAAGCTTAAACACTACTCATCATCGTTTATACAGTCCCTAAGGTCAAATAATTTTATCATCTATACTCTTGGCTAATGCTGCAAACAACAATGGAAAAGTTTTTAAACGTTCAAGGCTTTTTGTCCTCTTTTAGCTGAAGAAAAGCAGTTTTCTTTAGAAGATAAACACTACTTAACTGAGATTCTCCAAGCGATGCCTGGGATAGAAAAAAATTGTCAGTCATGTTATCCATCCACTACCTCGGATCAAAATTTAACTCGTATTTAAATCCTAAGGTGAGAGTCTTCTTGCAGAACACCTAAATAAATAATAATATGAAAAAAGCCTATTTGTAAAAAGGGAAATGCTTCTGTTGGCACATTCAATAGTTTTCCTTGCTCGTCTGACCGGCTGCTGTGCAACACAGAAGGACTTTGGACATTAGCCTCCCTAGGGATGCTTCTCCACACGAGTGAAAAACCTCGTAACACCAGTTCCAAGTATGACTTTGTTCTTAACTCTCCAGCTGAGTACTCAGACTCAGCAGGAGTGGCCCAGTTTGGAATTTGAGACCACTAGGATCCCACAGCCTCCAAAGCTAGAACACACGGGCTTCTCACCCACATTGTGAGGAGCTGAAGTTCCCTGCTGCAGACACCTGCAAGATGAGGTTGTCTGCAGCCTCCCCAGTTTCTGTAATTACTGCAGAAAGACTTTTGAATGAACAGCTGCCACCACACTTCAGATCAAAAAAGCCATGCAGTTTCACCTCCTTGGATGGTGCTGAGCAACTGTTCTAGGGAAGAGAAAGTGCCTAGAGAAATGCTTGCTTTGTGTGAGACTGTAAGTGCTGATGCCCAGTGCTGACCGTGGCTCCACAAAACAGTCCCCTGAGGTCTTCAACAGGTGTTCAGAAATCACAGGTAACATGCACCAATGGGCTCACAAGTGTGCCTTTAAACGTTTCAAAACCGCGTTTTAAGTCTATACACAAGTAAGTTCTGTAGTAATGTAACAAGATTAATTGGGAGTCAACTGCAGGTGTCAAGAACTTCTGAGTTTCCAACAGGTTGCCACCCATACCTGAACAAACTGTACCCAAGTCTCTTTGGTCAGTGTAACTAGCAGCCTTAAAAGAAAGACCTGGGTTTCCTAGAAATAATTTGCTTAACTCATGCCAAGCTGCAAGTTTGCTCAATTTATTAGTCCTTAGGTTTACCTCGTGCAGCCCTATCTGGTTTTGAACTAATGCTTTCTTAACGCTTACAAAGCAGTACGGCAGTTGTTTTGTGATGCAGAAGTGAGCTGACTTACACAAGAGAAGCAAATTTACTTTTAATTATAATGAAAAAATCAAATTAGCTCTTCCAAGGATAGAATGTCAGTTATACTTCAATATTCAAGCTATCTAGCTTAAAGCAGGCTCTCCTGTGAGGGTTTAGTTTGCTTTTGACTCCATCTTCTCATTCCTGGAACAAGCAAATCAGGATACAGCTTTCTGACCAGTGCCTCAGGAAGACACTGTACTTTGTTTCCCTATAAATAAAACCTAATTCCATGCTTCTGAGAATGGCTCAGTGACAGCACTACCACATCTTGAAGATACGGATAGGAAGCAAAGAATGTGATAAGAATCATCACAGATAAAGCCTTCCACCACCACAGTAATTCTGAATTCAGAGGTGAGCAAGCAGATAGACCAGTCCAAACTACTTCCCAAAGCTGATTTATTTTCCGTTTCTAGACTGTCTCTGCTGAACACAAAGGTTACCCAGCACCTGGCTATTCATGGCACGATGAACACACGGAACAACCACAGTTCAAGGAACCCTTCTTCCTTACGGGTAAACAAGCTTTTAAATTGGTGTTGCTTCAATGACACTCTGCAGTCCAAATAAGGCAAATATGACTGTGAAGTGGTCATGTTTAAGAATCTACAGGTGTTGCACAAGAACTTGTTTGTATCTATAAAGCAGAATATGCAGAGCCTAGATTTTGATTTTAGGCACATTAACTCTTACAACATCTTTTTTTATTCTTTACTTAAATAAATTAAAAAAACAATCAGCCTCTGAAAATCTCATGCTCAAGCATCAACATGACTTTTCTGTCATCCTTTAGATGGAAATGAAAGAAGAGGTGAATAACAGATTGCCTCAACACATGCAAGCTGACATTCTTCTCAGATGAAATCACTGAAGTTATGTATGAACTCTTACATCCTTACCATCTTGCCCAAGTGGTCACTTTTTAAAATAACCTGTGAATTTTCTGCCAAATCTTAAATGCTTTTTTTGCAGAAAGCTGGAAGAGGGCAGAGGAAGGAGAGTCCTGGAACTGTGATATGGAAGCACAGAGACCAGCTAATTTTTTAATGATGAAGTTAAACTTCTGGGCTATATTTTGAATTCTGATGTATCAACTTTTCATTATGCATTCTCAGATCCAGAACTGCACGCCAATTCCTCTTATCCTAAACTAATAAATACATAAGAAAGGAACCTTTTTAGTCCTAAATGCATCCAGAAGTAAAATTACTTCTCTTGCTATCTTGTGAGACAAATGATTAAAAAAATAAAAAGACAAAAAAAGATCCAAATGTTACGAGTTGTACAGAATCAGACAAAAACCTCCAAACGTTGAACAGACATGTCCCAGTGTATTGAACAGACTTGTCTCGGTATGGAACAGTTTATAAGCTTAAGGAATGCAAGGATTTCAGCTTGAAAGAGCCACTGTTTAGGCTCTGTTGTAGAATACAGATAAAGATATTTACAGAGAAAATATCTTTCTGATATTGTCTGATTGAGGAAAGTGTATCATGTTAGTGACAGGATTTCTCCCCAGTTCTCTAGATACAAAGCAGCTTGGTTCAGAGGCATCCATCAGAGGTCATCATTAATCTCTGTAGTAATAAGATCCAGGCTCTTTAAAATAGCTGGCTGTTAGCTGAAGATCTGCCATCACACAAAAAACTTTCAACTCCGGAGTTCTGAGGAAACAGATTAGATTTGTTCTATCAGCACTGTGGGGAGAAACTGTTAGTGGAGCTCTAAAACTAGGCTGCATCAAGAATTTAGGATAACTTATGAAGTGTTAATAAGCCAGCAGTGTATGTCATTGTTTAAATTCTCAATTGGAGACTCACTAGTTTATGTCCATGCACTAAGCATGACTTACTTTGCAGGAACGTTTCCTGCTGTTGCAGAGCTAAGAGGCAAACCAGTTCCATTCCTATAGATATTATCTTCCCGTGCAAGAGCAGAGGATCCAGGTATTTATTCCAGTTTGTGAAAAAAAGCCTTCTTTATAATGCCTCAAACACATTAGGACACTGAAACAGAAGTTATCAGTTTATACGAAATTATACCTCTTTGGTGAGCAAACCGTAAAGCCCAGCCATTCACAACACTCAGGTTCAAAAATCCCCTTCCCCCAGTGCCTGCCTGGACAAAATCAAGTAACAATTACAACATCAAAACAGGTGATCAATATGAACATATATGTAGTCAGATTTGCAGTTTGATGCAATCAGGACCAACACAGCAAGCTCACACAGTGACAAAAGCCACAAAAATCTCCTTTCAGAGCAAAATTCCTGTAAAGGAGAACTTTAGGATTCCTACAAAGCCCCCACTGGGATGCTGCCCAGTGGGCACAATCCTGAGGCTTCAGAACAGCAGCAATGTCAGAAGATGCTGACAGGCCTTATAACACTTAGACTGAAGTGAACTCGATAAAAATGTGTTCATTGACAAAGCTGCCTATACGTGCACCCTTGGAAAATGCAGAACTACTACTGAGCTCTGCCAAAATACCCAGTTACACAGCAAAACTTCACACAAAACATCCTTGTGACACCAACTCTGAGAGAATGTTAAGAACTGTATGCAAACATCAGTTCCAGCTGGTAGAACACATGCCTGCTTTGTACCACAACAAGGGGGAAAAAACTCTTACACTGAGGACAAGGTTCGCATCAGCAGCAGACAGCAGCTCGAAGAAGCTGTTTTAATGAGGCATCTTTGGTATCCCAGACCAAGTACAGAGTGCTCAGAGGAATCCTCAAATACTTATGCTGTTCCAAGGAGACTCCTATAATTGGATTTTATTACAGGGTCCTCCTGTAAGCGTAGGAAGTCTTTCACCTCCCACAGGAATAAGCTCATCAAAGACTAAGAAAAAGCAACTGTTCAACACAGAAACTGAAAATTTGTAGTAATGCATCACTTAGTCCTGGATAACGGGAAAATACCAACTTTCTCAGCTGCAGTAAACTGTTAAGTAACCAAATATTCTTGGGTTTTTTTTTTTTTGGTAAGGTGCTGTAGCAGGTCCAGAGAAGAGCAAGGAAGCTGGTGAGGTGTCTAGAGAACATGTCTTACGAAAAGCAGCTGCAGGAGCTAAGGAGGCTAAGAGGAGCTCTCTACAACTACCTCAAAGGAGGTTGTGGTGAGGTGGGTGTTGGTCTCTTCTCCCAAATTACTAATGATAAGACAAGAAGAAATGGGCTCAAGGGGAGGTTTAGATTGGGCATTAGGAAATAATTCCTTTCTGAAGGAGTGGTGAGGCATTGGAACAGGCTGCCCAGGGAAGTGCTGGAGTCACCACCTCTGAAGGTGTTCAAAATACGTGTCCATGTGGCACTTTGGGACATGGTTTAGTGGTCATGGTAGCACTGGGAAGGTGGTTGGACAAAATGATCTTAGAGGTCTCTCCTAACCTTAATGATTTATAAAACTCTGTGGGATATAAGACTCCACAATGTAAGAGAGCTCTCGTTTTTCCAAAAGAAATTACCAGCTCACAAAGCAGGACCACGCTTACAGTAGTTCTTTAGGATTTTCTACTGCTAATGCTAGCACCGATTTCCTTTCAGAGAAAACACACTTCAGTACTGAAAACAGTAACAACTGAAATTTGTAACAGAACTGTCTTCTGCTCTTTCCAGCTCTCACATCGTTGCAGCAAAGAAATACTGGGGACTTTCACTTCATAGTCAGATCTAGGCAGAAGATGCCAGAATTCAATTTACAGAGTTAAAGGCTAATCTGTAGGATTATATATTTTTGAAAAGGCCTGTCTATGTTCACATCAAAATTCAAGAAGTTGTGGAAGATTCTGAATACAGATCTTAAAAAAAATCACAGCATATTCTTACAAGGGTAGACATTTATAAAGTGAAATTAAGACATTAAAAACACTGAAATAAGGAAATTAAATTAGGTTCTAAACTAGTAAACTGACCTGTATTAACTCATCTTTTTGCATTATCAGTAGTTGTCTTAAGACTATATCTCTTTCCTGTTAAAAAAACAGAGGGTTTTCTGTCATCAGAAAGAATTTCAGAAGTAAACACTATTTTTATGTAATTTTTTTCACTTATGTTTTACTTCAGTTTTCAGAAACAAAATCAGCTCCACATCACCATTATCAAAGTAACGAAAGAGCTCTCTGGTTTAGAAACATTACACCTTGTGACTAATGAACATAATCAAAATTATGGAACCCAACTCAGTCCTTTGCAGTTTAAATTTATAACCAGAACTTTGTATACAAAGTGGTATTTGAATTAAATACCTCTATATGAATTCATGTGTTAACAGCGACAGATTTTTATTTTTTTTTATGATGTAGGTGCATTTTGCTTTCATGGATTATTTTACAGATAGGAGATAACACCACAAACTTACCTTCAATAATCCTGTTATATGTTCTAGACCAAGACCATGTAAAAACACTTCCAGGTCACTAAAAGTTGAATAGGAACTGTAAACATAATTAATGAGATTTGAGAAGAAAACAGTAGGTTTATTTTTCTTTTTAAAAGACATCCAGAACAAAATACTACAGAAAAGCTCACCACACAAAGCACTGCAGTTGTACACACCTACTGATGACAGTAGTATTTCACAAGCATAATCTATTAATATTTTATAAATGGATTTTCTGTCTATGGAGTTGAATTAAGCCTAAAGGTAACGATTTTAATAAATAAATGTCATTTTAAGTAGCAAAACGTTCCAGCTGAACCTTAAAGTTGGGTCACAAAAGCCTGGAAAACTTGGAAGCAGGGTTAAGGAAAATAACTGTATTCTTATCACATATCAATCATATAAATTAGACTCAGCTCATAACTGTTGCCCTTCTGGTTCTATTTAAACCTCAAATATGTTATCAAGAAGACAGAAATATCTATAATTAAAGATCGTGGAAATTATTCCAGTAAGAAATTTGTTGTCAGAAGACTACTGCTCAGAAGATAGATGGAAGTAGTACAACTCACCATAATTTCCTAGATTAACATTTATAAACAAAGATACAACACCAATTTTGTTTCCCTGCCCTACCAAAAGATACAGAAATGTATGAAGGGGAAAAAAAAAAAAATCTAAATAGCTGTCAACAAATCAGATCAACAACTGCAATGAAAAGAATTAAACCAGAAAGCAAATTATACAAAATATAGAAAGGACTACTGCAATTGCTGCAGTAAATAGTAAATCCTCTGCCAAAACACCAAGTTAAGAGATAGTTTGTTCCAGCTTGTTGTAGACCCTGAAAGAAGGTTTGCCCTCTTTTCACATGAAAGACTTAAAGAACTCACATTAAAATTTGTAAAAAAATAAACAACAAAACAAAGCAAACATTACTCCCCCCCCCCAAAAAAAAACCCCAACCAACCAAACCTTTCTGAAAAACATTGTGAATACATATGAAAATATTTCAGGTTTGCACACTGAGAATTTTGCATTGCAGGATTTCTTGTATTTAAGTATCCTTATCCATTTACGAGGACGGACACCCTGAATCACATGAAGGAGTTTATGCAACTTCTACACTGTAACAAGTCAGTAATTCTGTGAGCACACCTTCTGTCAGCAGACAAAATACAGAATATTTTAAAATAAATTTTAATAGAGCTTAAAACCATCACCCCTTGTTGTCTAACATTGTTATTCTCTGCCTGATTTCTCCTCCCACAGCACGCAGACGGCAACAACCAATCTTTGAAGCAAGCAATTCAGATATCCATCCAAACACTGTAAGTACAGCCAATGCCCTTCTACTGGCAAGAGGAGCCAGTGTACGAATGACCTACAGTGATGAAATGTTGCTATTTAGGCATTCAGAGTGCCTACTTTGCAAAAGTTGTGGCAACTCCAGACCTTTTTTTTTCTGTGAAAGGTGCAAGGAAAGGACATTCTTCCACAGGATCAAAGAAAGGGCTATTCAGCACCCAGACAGTAACTTGAAAGCCCCTGAAGCAGAAAAGGACATACTCCAGGAGCTGAAGAAATCAAATTGCTGGGAGGTATGTGAATTTCCTCCTACCGGCCAGGGCTCTGGAGCCACGACAACTGTCTAATCAGGACGGCAGGCAGCAATGACTGAGGCTACACTCACTATGTAAGGATGGCAAAAGGATGATGACAGCAAGGACGACAAGTTACACTTGCTGCCCCTGCACGGTGAGGCACTACTGATACCCAATCCCAGATGATTTATTAGACAAAACTGAGAGGACAGGACTTGAGAAGGCTGGAAAGAGACAGCCAGCTCAAGGAACTACGATGGAGTAAACACAGGTACCATTGTAACTCTTGAGTATCACAGGATGAAAAGAAAACCAACTCACTATGGGGTGCATGTGTGGAAATGGATGTTTTATGCGTAAGAACACGAATTTAACAGCCAGATGCGTGGCATACTCCAGAGATTGTTCCTGAAACCGAGAGTTCTACTAATTACCAAAAATATTTCAAAGTTATGAAACATCAGAACTAGCTTTTGTTAACACAAAACCCCTTGAGCTTGACAGAAATGTCTGTTCATGCAAACAAATTAGTTGGTCATCTGATTCGGAGTTTAGAAAAAGACTACTGAAACATCACAAAATCCCAGAAGCTCAAGAATTAGCTAATACATAACTAAATTTGCATAATTATATATCTGCCTGCCTCAAGTATTTTAAGTGGGCTTCGGGATTTCAATATCTTGTTTTAAAAGCTTATGAAGACTATCTAAACACTGGTAGAATGTCTCCTAGTCACCATCAGGTTTCAACAGCACTAAATCCATTTGGATATCTTCTGCATAGTATTAGTTTATTTTTCTATACCAGAAAAGTCTGGGAAACTTCCTAAATAACCTAAATCTATTGAAAAAAGAGGGAGATCTGTTATTACACTGAGGTCATTAAGTAAAGACTCTGTCCAGGGGTATGAGTCTTTGTGAAGAATACTAGAAAACAAAAGATGATCCCCAAGGAGCAGGCAGATCCCACAGGAGACCTGGTTCACAGAACACCACCTTCAGGAATCTATGAGAACAAAGATGAAAGAACAGAGAGGAGAGCACATATAATTGATTTTACCATGCAAAGTCTTCACCCCTCTGCTCCAAGAAGTACCTCTGAAGTACCAAACTGAGGTACTGTCCAAGACTGAGACCATCTCAACGTGAGCTGCTACCTAGTGCGCTGCCATCAGCCTAATGACACAGAACTACAGCCTTTCAAACTCAGCATCGCCTGACTGAGCAAGGATATGAAGAATCATCTGATCAACCAGAACAGACTATGGGCACTGGAAATTGTCTTCTCAAGGCCATGTAGCTCAAGCTCAAGGAGGCAAGTGGATGTTTTTTGAGGACTTCTTAGCTTCAGAAATCTTGGAAGTTGCTGAAGTAGATGCTGATTTCAGTCATAGCACTTCAGGGTCAGGGGCATGCTATGCAAAAATGTTTTAGGCTTAACTGGTCTTCATACTTAATTTTGACTCTCATATATGCAGAAAAGAAAGAAGAGGGAATAGCTCTTCCTGGTGGCATGACGCTGAAAACAGGCCTTCAGTGAAAGTATAAAAAATTTAACATCAAACGAAGATAACCACACAACAAGGAGTATCCAACAGGGGAGCATACAAACTTAACGGAACTGAAATGAAGTGACATTGGATCCCGGCTTTATTCTACTCTACAGCAAGCAAGAGGAAAGAAAGACCTAGACCATGCTCTTTGTTTAAAATGTAAAGGAACCTTGCAATTATGAAAAATTAAAAGTACATTAATATATCTTGGTCTCTTGGCAGTGCTCCAAACAATACACAATATAAATATCACTACAACTTAATCACTGATATGAACAAATACAACTTCCTAAGAATGTTTATATGCTCAAATTACACTATGACTGTATTTACCCAATTCTCTGATCAGGGGCAGCTGTCATAAATTTGTAGATGGCCTCTTGCTCAATTGTTTCATCATATCTCCCTTGCAAGTGATTTGCAGCCAAAGAGAGTAAACTATAAATCTGAAAGAGCCACAATTAATTAATTATTATTCAAACTCAAAACAGAAGGAAATATACAGGAGTAAGATTACAAAGAGTTCTGTCATAAATCTCTACTTTGAGGGAATATGAAACATCTGCCACTTCTCTAAAGCATACAACTACAATGAGGAGTTAAGACTAAGCCCACACAGTTTATCAAAAGGGTTTCTGAATTAATCAAATTCCAGCACAACAATGAATTAGCACAGAGCAAAAGAGTAAATATATATCGTAGTCTAAAACCATTAGCATCTGTCATTACAGAAGCAGCAGTACATCAACAACCTCATTTTTGTGGTTTGCAGACAAGACTTCTACATACTCAGGGAAATAAGTTATCTAAAGAACATGAGGCATATGACTATTTCAATGTCTTCACTTCCAGTGCATATATGGATCTAACATTCAGCAATTTACAACTGACAATCTAAGTTAACTGTATCTGACAGACAAGGATTCTTTCAATTGATTAAAGAAGCAGCATTCTGCCAGACATCACTACGCATCAGTGATGGATTCCAGAAACCAACTTGCCTCTGTAAGAGTTTTGAGATGTTTTGCTGAATTTTCTAGTAACTAAGTAGAACCTTGAGAAACCTAAAGAAACGGTGAAACCACCTCCCTGAAATTCAGGTGACTAGCCAGTTTTATATATGTATGCACATATATGTATGTGTGGTGGGTTGATCCTGGCTGGCATGTAAGCCCCTACTCAAGTCACTCGCTCACTCTCCACCAGCAGGATGGGAGAGATTCAGAAGAGTAAAAGTGAGGAAAAATACACACATTGAGATACATATAGTTAAGTAAATGAAAGAAAAATCCCACTCAAAGCGTAAGTGATGCAAAGGCAGTCACTCACCACCTCCCACCAGCAGACCAACGGTCACCAGACTCAAAAGCAATGGTTACTTCAGAAAAACTCTCCCCGTAATTTTATTGCTGAGCACGATGTTACGTTGCAGGAGTATCTGTTGGGTCCGATAGGTCAGCTATCCTGGCTGTGCCCCCCTCCCAAGCCCTTGTTCACTCCCAGCCTACTCACTGGAGGTGGGCAGGCAGAGTGAGAAACAGAGAAGGTCTTGATGCTGCGCAAGCGCTGCTCAGCAATGGCTAAACTATTGGTATGCTGTCAACACTCTTTTGGTCACAAATCTGAACGACAGCACCATAGAGGCTGTTAGGAAGAAAAATAACTTCACCCCAGGCAAAGCCAGTATAATATGCAAGAAAATGCTTTTCCTCACAGATACGGTTTCTGCACACACAGTCTATGTGACAGCCCTCTGGTCGTCAACAAGCCTGAGGAGCAGACCTCTGAGCTGGAAGAAGCTCACAACCATTAAGTATCTCGATACCACCTGCAAGACTTTGCAGGAACTGTGTGAAAGTTAGCGCTTCACAGGTCAAGAGGCAAGACCCACCTCTCAAGTGAGAGGAGCCTGTATTCCCCCTGTGTCAGAGAAAGTCGTGTTATGAGATTACTGGGCTGCAGCCTGTCGAACAAGTCATTTATCACAGGCAGAAAGCATTTGTAGCCCTTTTCAGTAACCTGAGCCAACAGATCTCCAAGTCGCAGACACTGATCTCGCTAGCCTATATGGACAGCTCTGCGCATAGTTACCATTTTTCCTCCTGCCTAGCCCTGGAGTCTGGCAGAACACACACAAAAAAAAGAAGCTATAAAGTGAATTAGAATTCACTAGAGCAAATTATATAGTTTTGCAGAGTCACTGAAAAAATTCAGAGGATTGGTAAGAGCAATTCAAAGCAAAATACGCAGAAATCTAGTCTGCTTGATCCCCCATGCATCATCTGGTAACAGCAATACACACATGTATTTTATGAGAATATGTTTCCTCCAGCCGCTCTCTCTCTCTCTACACTGATAATCAGTGGTTGTTCTTCCAATGATGTGCTGACCAATTCACGTTATTTTACACCTTATTCCCTCCCAGGAATGGATTTTGATGATGGCCAGTACCAACTCCTCCCCCGTTTTGGCTTTAGCCTTTTCACTTTCAAATTCAGTCAGAAACTACACACTATAAATTAGTTTGTTATCCACATTCTCTCAGCAAAAAACATATTTTTCTACTTCTCAGATCAACATTACTAATATGAATAAACCCCTGTTCTTTATCCTAAATCTGAAATCAAGGATTCTGGAAAAATATTACTGTATAGCATTTAAAGCCCTATGAAAAGTTGAGATATAGCAGAAAATAGTCTATACAGACATCATAACAGAAGTATTCAACTAGTTGCTATAATTTAGTTATTAAGACTTCTACAGAAAATTATAAAATTAACAGACTGAGGCAAAACAAAATCTGCGTTTCAAGGAAAAATGAAATTAAATACCTCTGAATGTTTATTGATTTTTGCTATCTCTGCTGCTGTTTTCTCATCCTTAGTCTGTAGATTTTTGTCAGCTCCCAGCTCAAGCAATTTAAGAATTACACTTTTATGTCCATGCTGTGCTGCCCATATTAAAGCCTACAAAGAACAACTTTGTTTTATCAGGTTTATATATGGCACAAAAAAGAACAGAAGTTCAATCAATAGTGCAACCTTTATAAGTTCTTAGGTGGCAGAATCTGGAGACAAAGACAAATAATGCAAAGTGGTGTTAAAAAAAATAACAGTGACTATTTCTGAGAAAGCTGTACTTAGAAACAAGCTTCTAGGCCCTTGTTTTTAAAAACATTTATCATTAATTACAACACACAGAAGTAAACCACTTACTGAATATCCGTTTTCATCTTGGGCATTTATCTGTGATCCGCGAGCGACAAGAAGAGCAACAACCTGAGGATGGCCTTTTCCAGCTGCATACATCAGCGGAGTCATTTGTTTCCTGAAAAAAATGATTTCAAGATATCAAAATCCAGTGGCACTGTCATGTAGAGCACCTCAATTCTGTAAAGACTCTCTGCTCTGTGGAAGAACTAAGCAGAAGATGAAAGCCCAAGATGGCAGGTTCACACTTCAGCACAAGGGTCAGCTACACAGAACATAGATTCAGCAACTCGTTTATGCCCACTTGGCAATTTTAAAATATTTTAGGAGCTTGCATTTATTTTCTAACTGAAATTAAGTCAAAAAGTCAATTGCTGTCCTGCACAAGAAGGAAATTTTAGAGGAAACTAAATACATCTCGTCCAGGAGTTTAGAATATAGACCTATAGCACTTCTCTGAGAAAAAGTTAAACCAATGCTTTATCACCTCTAAATTCAAATGGCACATTAGCACACAAATAACCTTAACACATCTCAGTTATGAAACATGGTAACCTGGTGACTAAATCTCTGTTTTGGTTCTGAACTACACAAAACCAGTCTTCAAAGACTAAGCCTCCTGCTGCTACCACAGACCCAGTAGGAGGCTTCTCATTTCGCACATGGATCAGCTTAACAAGATGGGAATGGCCAGATCAGAGTTTTCACCCTATTAGAAGCACAGAGTAACAGCAAATCACCCCTTTTTCCCCCTCAACTAAAAACAAAACAAATGTGGCAGAGACCTTCATTTTTCACTTCAGAAGTTATTTTAAATAGACACAGCTAAAGTGATGAATTCTGCATACAGTGTAATTTAAATCTGATGTTCTGAAAAGAAATGCGAAGTTTTGTGGAGGGCAAGTTGTAAATCACAACCAAATATTTTAGAGGAAGACTATTAAGAACAACAACTATGTACATAGCTGCAAAACCCTCTCTGGTAAAAACAATGTATGCAAAAAATCACAAGTGACACAACTCTTGCTGGGGTGCTTAGAGGCAGTGCAACAACATGGGGTGCGTACGTATTATCGACATTCAAACCCACCCCAGTACACCTAGAATGAATCTTCAGAGAATTACATACAAATACCATACAGAAAATTTTAATTTTTCAAGTACTAAAGCTAAGAGCACGTCAAAATATTTTTGCCCTTTATCCCATTTTTTTTTGTTCCCAGAAGTTCATGTGTTGATGCTTTCTCTCCTACATACATTACTATTTCTTACAACTGCTGCAGAATTGAATAATTACAGATGCCACCCTTCACCTTATTCTGTTTCTTCTTTTTTATATCCCAAATCCACGATGCCAATAGTCTATTGATCTTATGCTTCTATTGAGATGCTTATAAAGAGCCATTGTGAATTGCTCTGAATATTTCAAATGAAAAAAAATATTGCTCAGAAGTTTCTGTTAAAAAAGCATCTTCCCAAATGCCTGATGGTTATTCTTTGGGAGAATGAGATAGCAGAATTTAAAAAAAAAAAACCGCAGTATTGGAGGACAAAGATGTGGAGTTTCTAGTCACTATGAAGTAATCAGACTTAAGCTAAAATATTTTACTACTGATGGTCAGTTAAAACTCATTGATCTTAAAATGTAATTTTTTTTTTCCCTGAAAAACTATCATGTATTGCTTTTAATGTAACGTGGCAAAAATCTGCTGTCAGAAGATTATTCCATGTTGTTAGGATGTACTTGAGGGGAACACTGCTGTTTCCAATACCGAATTTCTTAAAGAGTTCAATACCGACCACTAGAGGGACCCCAAAACGTACATGTATACCAAATCAGCTGTATTAAAATAAGACTTTCTGCCTCCTTCCAGAGTATGGCTAGAACTAAGGCTTTGCTCATCTTTCCTTGCCATTGCTCATTCATAAACAAGTATTTTGTCTTATGCAAACGCTGTTAAAAGTGCACTGAAAAAAACCCAGTCATATTACAAATCTGAAAAAGCCTTACGATATGGAAAAAAGTCTATTGCTCAGGGATAAGCAAAATGAAAGGCAATCAAGTCTTCAAGGCATACAGTCAATAGAAGAACTTAGTAATGAAATTAAAAGACTTGCATCAGTCTGTAATTTAATTCAGTCTGTAATTTAATTCAATTTAGTCCATCGACAGCACGAAAGCAGAAGTTCTAACTGAATATAAAGAGATATTCTTACCAGGGGCGACAGAGAAGTTTAGTAGTCTCTATCTTTGGTGAGTTTTGAGTCCAGATGACAATTTAGCCCAATGTTATAGCAGAGATGGCTTTAAGGAAGAAGTTGTACTAGAGACCTGAGGGCTCTCCTGACCTGAATTACCCTGTGATCCTATGAAGAAAAAGACTCTACAACCTGCCCCTGTAACAACTAACTGATGAGAGAGATACAGATCTCTGTATACAGTCATACACAGATATCTATAGATGGCTGTATTTTAAATAATGAACAGAAGTTGATCATGACCTAATACTTTAGCAACAGAAACTTGCTTGCCCAACAAGGATGCTGACTCCCATACTTACTTGTACCCTGTGGTAGGCAGCCTTTGCTGGACTTTCCACGCTATCACCTTTGGAGCACTTATACCTGTGTGCAAAGTTCATCCATTCATGCCTGTTTTCATTTTCATTTCTTTTGCTCTCAACTTTTTTTTTTTTTTTTAAACTTGCACACTGCTGCTACCTCACAATTATCTTCTGCTTCTTCAAAGGAGAAACACTGGGAAAAAACCTCCAGAGGCTACAAAATAGTCTTTTCTCCAACATAATGCAGTGGCTACAGTTGCACAGTACTGCAGGCATGGTATCTGAAATCAAGGCAACAGCTCTATGACAATAAAGCCACTGGAAAAGTTTCTCCATTTTTAAGTAAAACCCAATAACCATGACATTTAAACAGTCCACCAAATGTGAATACGTAGTTAGTACTACAATCATTCAATTTCAATGTTCCAGTTTTAATTTCAAAAGCTACACGCTGCTTCAGGATGGAAACACACATCGTCATAATCATCACGGCTGGGCTTCACGAATGAAGATATGGGAAGGGCTTTACCCACGCTTGCTACAAGTGCGCTGATGGCTAAAAAGGCCGATGTGGGATAGGCAAGTCCGGTTGCAAAAGGCACAGCAGAAAGTCTCCTTAGGCGGTATTGGCAAAGAATGACTCTTTCTGCATTGACTTTTCTCCTCGAGACTAATTCTATGTGTGTTCTCAAAGGAGGCAGCAGCGTTATGGATGGTGTGTCTCCACGTCTTCCAGTTGAAGGCCAGAGTAGACCACTGATGGCAGTCAATATGGCCAAAACTGAGGTATTGTTTCAGAGAGTCCTTGTATCTCCTCTCTGGGGCTCCTGTTTGCGGCAGCCAGTGGCGAGTTCCCCACAGAGCACAACCTTAGGGAGGCGGTGATCCTCCATCCTGGAGACCTGCCCTGCCCAGCGCAGCTGCGTCCTCAGCAGCA